CGTGTGGAGCCGAAAGCTCAGAATAAAAATATCGTTCCAGAGATCGCGTCTTACTCTTTTCTACAACAAGAACCTGGGGCACGCACACTCGCTTCTATTCGTAAAATTGTTTCTACTTTAAGAGTGATTGCCTTCCGCCACATTCCTTTGTAATTATTTTGGGAGTTCCATTACGAAGAGGTTCAGATCTTCCTTGAAATGCTAATTTAGACTACAATTTTCCCTGGCTTCAGTGGATTGACCATAAATAATGATTATATTCTACGTGCTTACTATCACCTTCAAAATAAGATATATCTTAAAAGCATTTACCTAAATAACGAGCATATATGATTAAAAAGTTTCCGCTTTTTATTAATACTCTTATATAATTTAACAGGCAACAATAAGGAGTTTTTTTCACGGCGTAGGAAATTCCTCGGATATCAACAAACGTTGGATTTGGTCCCCATTTGGTCCCCTTTTTGCCCCAGTAAACTGATCCGAACCGATCTCTTTTGTAGTAAATAGTATTTTGCAGCTTAAGTCAACTCAATGAACAAAATGAACAACCACAAATGTGTGTTAAATCACCCAATCAAATTTTGCTCTTCACATTTTATCAGATATGCAATCAACTGTATATCTGCCTGCTTGTCTGATGATGGCTCATAGACCGGAAATGGCCATTCCAGTATCTCTTGTCGTTGTCGGCAACACTAATCTGCCTTCAGTGATAGCGGCTGTCGGTGGGACTCGAGAGTGAGTCCACTGTTAAGCGTTCATCCGCCAACGAAACGAAATTCTTTTGAGTACTTCAGGTTGTTGGCATACTGACGAAGCGTGATTGTGGCGTGACTGTACTCGCTGCCACTCACCGATGTGTAGAGCTCCGCGTAGCACCTTAGTCATCTTGTAGTCCCGAGTAATGGCCCACCAGGCCAGCCACGTCAAAATCCAGGCCAGCTCTTAATGGCTTTTCGAGTGGCGTGCGTAAAACGTCATTCACTGTCAGCGTCTAAGGAAAATATGCCTATATAATACCCTGCTGGTCACAGTGAAGGCGCTTCTCGATTGCCTGTGCCTTCGTTGACGCTGACTGAACCCATGGACGCCTTCTTGGGGACTTGGAAATTCAAGGATGGTGATGACATTGACGCGCTGGTTCAGCGTATGGGGGTCAAAATACCTAAGAACCAGTTGGATGAAATATGCAACTGCATCCCAACAGTGGCACGCGATGGCGATGGTTACAGCATCCACGTAGAATTCGGCCCCAAAACGTGGCATATTAAGTTCAAGCTGGGCCAGGAATTCGACACCACTAGCCTGGATGGTAGACAGGTCAAGGTAAGTTTTCGGCACCATGGTCAAATCTCTCTGTGTCCTGATTAATTTCTCACTGAGGTATGCTCGCTGTACCTTAAGTTTCACTAAGTCTACTAGGCAGAATATGTCTTGCGTCCATGACCTGTCAACTAGGTGTGTCTATCTCACAAATTTCGGCATCCATATTGCCTGATACCGGCAATCAATGCCTTCAATTCAAAATACGAAATATATATGCGTCATGAAATTCAAACGAAGGTCTGCACTGAGTTTTCCCATTTCGAAAAAGACACAGCAAGCTGGCTGGAAAGCTAATTTCAGGAGCATCGGCTTTTAAGTGAGCACCACCACCTGCGAAAACTAGAATTTGTAAGAATAACGACCTAATAAGTAAGCATTAGTCTATGTCTTAGGGTTTCGATACTACCTGCTGTAAACTCATTGTGTTAGGAAAATTCGACGTTCTTGAAGATATAAGGAAGTCATTACATATCGCTCTTAAC